CAAACACCTAATTTATTAATATTTCAATTTGAACGTAATTTATTTTCGAGAATCTACATATTCAATTCAATTTTTAACTTTTCCGTATATTCTGCGAGAGTTTGATATAATATATGTAAACCTTCGAGTGTATTTCGTATTCCGGTGTTTTTGAGGTTACTAATCATGAATCTAAACTAAAAATTTATGAATTTAAAGTGGTATACAAAAATGCAAAAAGTCGACTTGGATGAAACTCACTCGGGGGATTTTTGACGTCGTTGAATACGAATCTGCATTCAAAGTTCAAAAATTCAAAATGGCTAACAATTGGTTTGCCACATTGGTTCCACTATCTCATATTTTTCAAAATTTCGACCTCAGATTTTAATTCAGTAACCTAAACAGAAATGCCAATAAAAAGTATGAGAGCTTTCAACAATTTATTTTGATTACAGCAGAGAATATTTATTTTTGTTTTCAAAAAAACTTATTTGTGGTAAATAAAACGACATTCTAGAAAGATTTGCAAAATAATTTACTGTCCTAAATAAGTACTTAAATTGCCGTTTCGTTGTCAATAATATTGTGCGCGTTTATAACAGATATAAAATGGATCATTGTACAGCTGTGAAATAATTTTGAAAGTGCGTTAATAAAGCATTGTTTCTTGTTTTTATTGTACCTTCTACATTCCCTTTATAGTCTCATCTTCAACGGGACAAGTGCATGTAACTATTCTAATCAAATCAACGTTAGAAAGTTAACAAAAATTATCGATATACATCGCGACCGACCAGGCCTTACGTAAAAAAGTGAGGACCTATAATCGACCCACGAATCCAATGTATTTTTTGACAATTCGAAAACAATGAAGTCTCTACATATGTATAGAAAGGCATATGCGTCACTTCGTAAAATATTTGTTACAAAGTCTGTATATGAGAAGAGATGGGCAATATTCGAATCGAAAATTGTTTTCCGCTTGAATAACTGTGAATAATTCCTAACAAAAAGCAATAATAACATTATTAGAGATCAATCATTTCAAATGACTTTTTTTTTAATAAGTAGCGTTCTCGCATAATTACTCATAGTTATTCGAACCCAGAAGTATTTTTAACACATTTTTAGCCAAACATAACCCATTTCTTCATACGAGTAAGGGAGCAGCCCAATGCATGGACAAGCATTCAAGTGAAGCGTGGATCTGATTGGATGAGTAAAATGATTAATAGGTCAATAATTAGACGTCAGATCAAAAAATGCCAAAGGAGTTTTCTACTGATTTTTCGACCAGAAATACGGCTATGTTTAGCGTACCTACAGTTTCCGGACACCTTGTATAAAATATTATATGATTATATGCATAATCATTTTTCTCGTGCATGTTATTATTATTAAATATTTGAATGCATTAATCAATTTTTTTGTTCATATCACAAAGTTATAGATGTAATATTGATGTAAGGCCTTCGTATGTCATTAAGGAAATATTGCTTACTTGATATTCGTTCATTTGTCCGCTGTAACTTGTTAGACAAAATGCTTAAAGACTAATATTTTATTTTATATTAAATTCCAATTACAAATATGGTCTGATTATAATCAATTAATCGTTAAAAAAAATGATAATGCCCCTACTTCGTCTTAATTATATATATATTTCACTCACTTGTCCATATCCGCGCAGTAGAGAGTCGAGGAATTTAACCAAGATCCATGTGAAACCGTCTTTCTTATCTAAATACTTTTTCCAGATCGAAAAATCGCCAACATAGGCTACCCACTGTCGTTCCTGAAAGAAATTAAACATGTTCATTTATTTTAATTTAAAATATGTCTGAATTTCGCACGCTGAGTTGAAAAAAAAATTATTTTTCTAATATCGTTCAAATTTTTTCAACTCTATGCCAGCAGCAACTATTCCGGCTATTTGTTTCTTTTTATCTTTTTTCCTATGTTTATTAGTAATGTTTGCACAGTCAGTTATCTTTGAAAACTAATTATTATATTAGCAACAAATGCGATCAGACGCGAACGGCAGTTGAAGATCACTTTATCATCAAGGTTATCATCGTTGGCGGCGCATGAAAAGGCACCTTTATCACTTGACTAATTTAATATTGTAAATATGACAAAAACATGAACGAAACTTTAATTACAAATTATTTAATAGACAAATATATGTATCATACTTAAAATATCATCTATTGCTTCATGAATTCGTAATGACAACTGCATAACAGCACAGTACCATTTAATGCATTTTATATGTATCATTATATGTATAGCAGTAATTTACTCAAATTTTATTAGCAATAACGTTTCACTCATGCATTTGTCAACAAGATCTATTTCACAGAGTAGAATATTTTATTGTCGTGCTATTAATCCACTGTTTAATTGTACATGTATTAAAATATTTGTTATATTGAAATTTATTTTTACTTGCTGCGGTGTTGTATCCTCCATGATAACCATATTTGTACAATGGGTGCTACTGATCCTTTGAAGATATTACAGCTTATGATTTTTGCTCGTAATATTTCAATTGCCTACATCAAATGGCAATAGAAACAATATTGGCACTGAACAACTTTTTGAATTGAAAAAAGGTATAAAGTAATAAGTACCACGTTGATATTTAGAGAATCGCGTCACCGTTGAACGCCTGTTTATTTATATGTCTAATCTCGTTCGACGACCCTGGCTTCTAAGTAATTAGACAGTCCTAGATAATTATGAGGACAAGTATCATAACCGTGCTAATGACTTGAATTTCATATTGACGCTCTGGAAAAGGTGGGTCAACAGATGAAGATTAAAGAACGAGAAATAGGTAAGCTTTTTACTTTTGCGTGTTATTAGCAATCTATGTACCATTCATATGATTAGTAAATAGCAAACTTTGTATACAAGCTTCAAATCAACTGGAACTGTAATCATTTGTTACAATTTTTAGAAATTTAAGTATTAAGCTTGCTGGTGTAAATTTTTAAAAATTGGAATGGCCCATCGCTAATTTTATTAGGAATATCTATTAACAATAAATTTGTTCATATAAAAATATATCTTAATAAAACTTGTGCAATTATAAATATCAGAAAAGAAAGCTAACATTCACCTTAACGTAAAACGTTGTATGGGAAAAGTGTATCAAAAGATAATATTTTATTTTACTTTCTTACAATTAAAATTAAGTTCTTGTCCAAGATCGAGAGTTAAAGAATTATAGCATTAAATCTCTATAACGTAATTGGGATGAACGACGAGCGTAGGATCTTCGTCGCTGTCCTGTTCGCCGCTTCCTAATTCACCCGTTTTTAAAGGAATTATAATTTGATCCTAAAAAAATAACAGTATATTAGTGAACAATATATATTATAATTCTTATTATATTATATACATACATGATATATTAGCCTGTCTATAATTTTCTCAACAAGTGCCTTGCGCTCCAGCAATTCTTCCTCGGAATCGATTTGATCCTGTATCTGATCAAGGTACCATGCAACCAATTCCGACTTTTTTGTACCTTCCTTATTTTCATCTACAATATGAAAAAAGAATTCTCTGTAGACTTAAATGTATAATAAAAATCTGTTCAATATAAAAAAAAAGTAACTTTCGATCGAACCTTCACTCTCAATTCGATTCTCCTCGTTGCGCATATAAAGCACTAACATGTTGGAAAGATTTTTGTATTCATCAAAGGACATAGTGAGCTTCTTTTTAGGAACGTCTGCGGATGCTGCTTCATCTATAGTAATTGTAATTAACATTAAACAATAAATGAAAAATAAATATGTATGACACAATAATCCAAAGGTCTTAATTAACTTACCTGTAGTAGCAGCAGTGTTTTTATCATTGCTGTCAAGTGCGTTGAAGGCAGCCATAAGAGGCGGTGCATCGTCCAGCTCCATTCCTGTGCCATTTTCATTGTACTCATCCTCGTTGAGATCAATGTCTGGCTGTTCTACGCGCACTATACTTTTGCTCAGTAATCGTCGAGCCTCCTTAACGTGCTTTTCTGTGACTTCATCGACACATTCAAGCTTAGCCAACGCCTCAGATAGTCGTATCAGACTCTCCAATTGACGTACAGTAACACGCCATGTGGACTTTCCTGAGCCGGTACCTTCTCTTTGCCGGAGAGTCGTATAACTTTCAATCAGAATTTCCCCAGCGTCCTGTTCCATGTAAAGCAATATTATAAAAATGAGCTGTTAATTATTTAGAAGCATAGAACTTACCGGATGTATAACTGGTTTGAAGTGCTTGGCGAAGTTAATGTATCTCAGAATTTCCGTCTGAGTATAGACTGTCTCTATATTAACTATATTGTTACTATGAAGATCAACGATTTTCTTGGCAATTGCATTGTCTATGACCTCATTACATTCGTCAACTAAGATGAAAAATAGATCAAATCGAGACATGATAGGTGCCGTTAATAAAACATTTTGTTGTAAGGATTTACTGCGATCGTAGCGACCGTTTACGGGATTGGCTGCAGCAAGTATGGATGTTCGAGCATTCAAGGTTGCTCTGACACCAGCCTATATGTAAAGTAAGTAATTTTAGGTATTTTACTATTAATACTGAAGAATATGGGGATTGAACGTTACCTTGGCAATAGAAATGGTCTGTTGTTCCATTGCTTCGTGAATGGCAACCTGATCTCGTGGATCCATCTTGTCAAACTCGTCTATACAACAAATCCCATTATCTGCGAGCATCAACGCACCAGCTTCAATAACAAAATCCGATGACTCCTCATCTCGTACGACGGCTGCTGTTAAACCAGCTGCAGTGGATGCTTTCCCTGAGGTATACACAGCTCTTGGAGAAAAATCAGTTACTTGCTTGAGCAACTGCGACTTGGCAGTACTAGGATCTCCTACGATACAGCAATTAATATCACCACGGAGTGTGGTGCCTTCGATGGTGGTCTTGGGCACACCACCAAAGAGCATCAATGTAACTCCTTTCTTGACTTCGTCATTTCCGTGAATGGCTGGGAATAAACTTGAGACCAAATTCTGATACAAATTCTTATCTCTGCTCATTTCGTATACCTTGTTCCATTCTGCTTCTGTCATTTGTCGCTTCATCATCTCCTGGGATATTTCTTCCATTGCCATTTCAACACCACCAAACTACAAAAGCAATGGAAATGTTTAGTGATACCTTAAATAAGCAGCCCATCTTCCTCATTAGTCGATGCCTTTGGCTTATGTTTTTCAATGTGAATAAAGTGACGTATTAGTACCCTGGAACTTGTTGCAGTGATGCTGCATGCAAGAAATGCCATTCTATAGTTTAAATCTCTGACACCAAGAGCTTTGAGTCCTCTAACACCTTCCCCTTGATCACCATGTTTGTGTCTGGATCCAAATTCTGCTTTAGCACCAGGAAATGCTAAAGATCCAACATCCGGTACCACTATAAGCGTTCCCGTAAAATCGTATCTATGTATGCAAACATTAGTTTACAATGTGATATATTTCAAATACACATTAGTATAATTTGGGATACAAACCTATCACCAGGCTGTACAGTCTCGACCGTTTCTGCTCTTAAAATAATTTCTAGTGAACGCGGAATGCATCCTCTAGGGAGTTCGGCCTGCGTCTCTTGAATACGAACTTTTTGAAAATCCACGAACACTGAGTTATCCACGTCCAGCATGAATCGACGACGATTACTACATACTGGATTTCGGCAAATTGTAGGATTGGTAAACTATTAATAATAATAGAGTTCCATAACGTTTTCAAAAATTGTATATGCAAAGTATGATAGAAAAATTAAATCTACCTTAAACTGCTGCTCAACATTCTTTATAACTGCATTACAATCCATACAAATGAAAGTACCAAGAATCAATTCTGGATGAACAGGATGAGTTCTTACAACTTGTCCTGATATACGAATAAGCGTTCCAATCTTTGCCGTAGTAAGTTCTCTCACTTTATGTCTAGTTGGCACATCAACAAGACTGACGTAGCATTCTTTCTCCTTTCTCATATCTCCTCTATCTTTCACATAATTACAAACTGCTTGACATAAGAATGGATATACTCTAAAAACAATATCGTTATCACATAATTATAGTTAATATTAGTATATGAAGTGGTTTATCTGAAAATGTATTATTAGAAATGAATAAAACTGACCTATAATATTCCTCAATAATAGTAGTTGACAAAACTTGATTAAATTTCTCAATGTCATCGAACGAAACTTCCAAAGTACTTCGCTCTGGACTAATTAGTTCTTTAGCTGGTTCAAGATATTTTACTTCACCATCTTCTTTAAATCTATCAAAGAAAATCAATTAATATAATGTATTAATTATTGCAAATATACTGTACAAGGACAAAGTTTATGACACAAAGAATGTGTACTCATAATATAATAATACAAAGTACGTACACTTCGAGAAAATCTTGAAATAATTTTTGGCATTGTATTCCGACGTCATCCTTGACACGTAATTGTCCGGCGTTCAAATTGCCCACATCCATTTTTTAATAAAATATAAATCGCACACTTAATTAAAATACACGGAGCGTTACGAGAATTTGGCGGCAAACCTTACGTTGTTTGGCACGTGTTGTACTTCAGAACTCAGTCACATTCATCAAAGGCGCGTTTGAACATAACTCGACACCAATAGCACAGTGTGAATTCCTCTGGACGCGTTATACAATTGGTCGATAGTCCACGTTCGGACGCCGGTTTGAATCAGTGCACCTACCTGATCCTTCACACAAAGATGAGTAGAGAGATGCACAACGCTACGGTTTTAGGCGATACCAAAAACATGGCGCTGAATCGCAGCGGCGAGTTCGGAAGTAGAATTTTGTGATCATCCCCTCCGTTGATAATGCGGATTACGAACGTGTAGCTTGATGAGCAGAGGCTCTCCGCTACTTACCGCTGGTTCCTAAAACAGCACGTACTTATGTTAAATTTAAAGAAAAACTGTGAGGGTGCAAACGATGGAACGCAGTGGAGATGTACTCACCGGAGCTGGTGCAGTTGATTCGTGAATGCCGAGAACTGCATTCAGGAGACACTCAGGTGGGCACTGCACTTCCGGAACACTCACAGAAAATCCACGGAATTTTGTGGATGTCGCGAGAGCAACTGGAGAAGTACACGAACGAGAACTTGGTATACCGTATCGAAACACGGCTAGAAAAACTATCAATAGATAGCACGGGAGCGCGAGCCAACTCGTAACACCTCGGTTGGTGCCTCAAGATAGACTGCTTTGACAATAGCCAAATTCGAGAACTAATCATTCTGATCGGTCGAGATTCTTATAGGATCCTCATCAAGAACTATAGAACTCCACTAGAACTATTGAAAAAGCTTATTAATGAAACATTTTCCAAAAGTTGAGGTGCTACAAGGGTGTGAAGTTGGCACCGCAATTTCTTAAAAATGTTCCAACAATAGGCTTTTCAATGGGTTTCAAGGAGTTCTATAGTTCCTGATAAATCTTAACAATAACAATAGTTCTGTATGTAATATCGGTAAAATACCTATTAAGGATACTAGTCGCACCATACGCTTCAGTGCAGGTATGCATAAGGAGCTGGCTTTCAGTGCTGTTTTCAGATTGTGTTTCAAACAGTTCCGAGATAGTTGGGACCATAGTTCCGCTTGGAACTATTGTTATAATAATGTAATAATGCTGGAAGCTAGCACCGCATCACTGCACTCCTTAACGCAGGCAGGCATGAGTTGCTGGCTTTTCTCTTAGTAAATCTTATTGAGCTTACACTGGGCACTCGAATTTAAGATTACAAAAAAAATATTTAGGCAATATCTGATGAGCGGCCTCGTTCTAAGGGTTGCTCTGGAAACCAGCGGTAAGTTGCGGAGAACCTCTGCCGGCCAGGCTCACGTTCGTAATCACGTTCAGCTCGGCTACGACGGGATATGCATTATCAGCGGAGCGATCATCTTTAAATCCTACTCCCGGACTCACCGCTACGATTTAGCGCAATGGTTTTAGTATCGCCTAAAACTGTAGCGTTGTACATCTCCCTATCACTCCCTACTCATATCTGTCAGGCCGTCAGCTATCGTTGATGACTTTTTGTAACCTAACGTAAACGAGGGTGAAAAGTTTTAATGCGTAAAAAACAATCGTGCGTAAGACAGTTGTTGGGTTGTATTGCTAATTTGTAAAAATGGCAAGTCCTTTGACGAACGTCCCAGTATCTCAAATATTGAAAAACAAGAGTACTTTCGAAGATGAGCCCAGGAAAAAAAGTAGAGAAGATTGGAGAAAAGCTAAGGAATTAGAAGAAGCCAGAAAAGCTGGTACCGCACCAGCTGCTGTTGACGAGGAAGGAAAAGATATCAATCCACATATTCCGCAATATATTAGTGCAACGCCATGGTACTTTGGTGCACAGGTATGACACAATTTGATATGTTTTCTATATTACTAAGAGCAGGAGACTATTAGTAAAAAAGGGTCGACCCCTGTGTATTTTGTATCTGAAATAAAACTTATAGCAAGTCTGTGTACATAGTAACTGTCATACACAAATTGGCATAAGATTGGTCTTCTTTACTAGTAGTTCTTTGGTGCCAAGAGAACTGTAATTTGTATAATATGGTTTTTTTTTGTAGAGACATGGTATACATATATGTATCTAATTACAGGGTCCTACATTAAAACATCAAAGACCACAGCCTGAAAAACAAAAACAATATAATCAGTTAGATGAATGGTACAAGCGAGGTGTAGATGCAAGTAAGGTAGTGCACAAATATCGTAAAGGAGCTTGTGAAAATTGCGGTGCTATGACGCATAAACGAAAAGATTGTATGGAAAGGCCACGGAAAGTAGGAGCAAAATTTACAAATACTGATATTGCACCTGACGAATTTGTTCAACCTGATTTGTCTGTGGATTATGATGGCAAAAGGGATCGGTGGGCTGGTTATGATCCAGCTGAGCATAGAGCAATTGTAGAAGAATATCAAAAGATTGAGGAAGCAAAAAGACAAATGCGTGCAGACAAACTTAATGCAGAAGAAAACGATGATCAAGATTCTGATAAAGATGAAGATAAATATGTAGATGAGGTTGACATGCCAGGAACTAAAGTCGATTCAAAACAACGTATTACTGTGAGAAATTTAAGAATTCGCGAAGACACAGCTAAATATCTTCGCAATTTGGATCCAAATTCAGCATATTACGATCCAAAAACAAGATCCATGAGGGACAATCCATATGTTGGAACCGAACAAGAGTATGAAACAAAAAATCCAATCTATCTATATCTTAGATATTCTATTAGATAGTGTATTATTGAACTTTTTTCAGGGTGGATTACAAGGGAGAAAATTTTGTTCGATTCTCAGGAGATACGCAACAGCACGCGACCGCTCAATTGTTTGCGTGGGAGGCCCATGAACGTGGTGTCGATGTTCATTTACTCGCGGAACCTACAAAACTGGAGCTACTCAAACAGGAATACGATAAAAAGCGAGATGAATTAAAAGACAAAGCTAGAGGTAGTGTTATAGATCGTTACGGCGGTGAAGAACATCTGGACGCGCCACCGACATCGCTTCTTCTTGCACAAACGGAAAATTACGTGGAATACTCCAGATATGGAAAAGTATGTTATTAAAACTTTATAAAATACTTTGGATATTTTACTGCTTTAGAGTGATATTTTAAACAATTATATTTTTCTTTCAGATAATTAAAGGCCAAGACAGGCAGGTTATTAGATCAAAATATGAAGAAGACATATTTCCTAATAATCATACATCAGTTTGGGGATCTTACTGGCAAGCAGGCAACTGGGGTTACAAATGTTGTCATTCTTACATAAAAAATTCTTATTGCACTGGAGTAGCTGGAATTCGTGCTTCTGAAACAGCAAACACCAGTAATGATAGTATTCCAAACAGTAGTAAAGAACCAAAGAATGAAGAGGAACCTCAAAATAATGAAAGGAAGACGGAAGTTGTTTGTCACGAAAATTCGTCAAATGAAGATTCCTCGAGCGATTCATCTTCGGAAGAGGATGATACGAAGACAAAACCAGAGATAAAAGCTAGCAAGGCTAAAAAGAGGGATAAAAAGCGTAAACAAAAGGAGAAACGTAGGAGTATCAGGAAAGCGGAAAAGGAGGAGAGTAAGTTAAAGGAGGCGTTAAAAAAAGAATTGAAGAATCAAAAAGATGCTGAAAAATTGTTGAAGATGGACGAGCGAAAACGTCCATACAATAGTATGTATGAAGCTAAGGAACCTTCTGCCGAAGAAATTGAAGCTTATCAAATGAAACGTAAACGCGATGAAGATCCTATGGCGCATTTTCTCAGTTGATCATGAACATTCAGTCATGAGTGGAAATATTTGATATTCTTTACATACATTCACATTTTAAATGTATTTACCATGATTATAAGATGCGTTAATAATTCAACAAATGTGTTACCTTCGACGAATACTGTACAAAAAATATAATACTACACGTTAGTATGTTATGACAATTAATAAAACATAATCACTGAGGAGATACTGTTAAAAAAAGGTCAGCCTTATGGGTACTTCTGTCTGATAGCCAGTGGGCACAGTAAGTACAGAAAATATACTGGAACTAGTACAGAAGTTTTGGAGGAGCCATTTTACCAATATCTCCTCGACGACATAATTCAAATTTCAGAAATTTCTTTAAACCTGTGTCAATCACATTCTACTGAAGTAAATACCAAGTAAACTGTTGTGCTATTCTCGAAGCTACATAAACACCGAATATTATAGTTATAAATGATCAAATCTAAAAGAAGATACAAAGTAAATGCATTGGAGATTGCATTTTTTATTTTTAACGACAAACAACAGTATTGCTTCTTTTATTTTCAGAGGAATGTAAGGTTATAATGAAAGTTACCGGAGAGATTTCTTATTATTTTACAAGATTAACTAGAATAGTTTTGATAAAAATTACATTCTGGTTATTGTTCCTGTATTAATAAAAGCGCAAGTTCCTAAATTGAAAATACGTACCAGTATGTAGTGAACGCTTGCGCGGAAGCCAATAGCGTAATCGAGATTCGAGATCCGTTATGGCCGCCCATTGAACACTGCTCGGGAGTGGAGGGGTTCTGCCTCAGCAAAACAGGCCACTTAAATGCTCTCGTAAGCAAATTATGGCATTGTTTCTTATCAGAACAGAGGGATTACATTACGGACATTCACAATTACGTTACTTCTGCACCCGCTCGACCATGAAGGTGATTATTTTTATAAATTTTCACTATTCATAGAAATTGTAGCGCGGCGTTACCGCCTTTGCACTTCATAGATCTTGTTCTTTCGTTTCTTCATATTTAAAATATCTTGAATGTTTACCAGAAATTCGTGCGTATTGCGCGACAAATCATGAACGCACTGTAATTGTAGGTTTAAGTAATGAAGAGCTTCTCAGGATAAGAAATAGTTTCCTTTTCTTAGCCTACTGTGCATTCTCCAGACAAGATATATTGATCCAGTATCTTTTTTACTATTTGAAATATGGAACATTCAATGTAACCTCTAACATCTTTGTCGTGATGTATTCATGACTGATTATTACAGAAAGGATTGGTACTTGGGATTTACGAAGCAGAGGGAAAGGATGGTATTGCGTTGACTCCTACTGCAGCTAGGTACAATGAGAAAGTCAATGGAAAGCTACTGAAAAATATTTGCCTGTAAGTCTCAGTAAAATTATCAATCAACTATGTTTGTCATTGTATAATATTTAATAAGATATGGATAATTCTGGAGTAATTATACTTGTGCATTGAACATTGAACATAATGCGGTGGAGTTGTATCTACATCAAGAATCATATCGCTTACCTCAGAATTATATTTGGTTTATATTTGTAGCTTGTTAGTATAATACATTTGGGAATATATATACATTTTTAAACGACTTGTTAATAAACTTCACTGATGCACAACTCATAGTTGCTCCTACATACTCAGTAGTCGCACCTAAGTATTAGATATTTTATTTGCCTTTTCAGCCTGAAACAATTATTATAATGCTGCCTGAGCTTCACCCAACATTTACTACTGCTTACCAACAGTCGTCTCGTGCGAGACCTACTAGAATGTTTTTCGTTGTGGAAACTAGAAATCGAGTTAGACCCAGATCCCACAAGCTCACTGGCATTATTTTGATTGTTTCAGGGGAGACTAGGCCGAGCGGTAACGTTACATGTGTGATAAGAAGCATGGACATGGCGCAGAAGAATTGATAAGAGAATCCCTCTCCATGTTAACAAAAATTAAATCGTACCGATCGATTAAATTTCATCTTTTCTCAAAATACCGGTTTCACAAACGAAATTGCATATGAATGATTTTCCTGGAGTTACATAAAAGGTGTTATGGAATTCATAATTAAGCTGTGAGATCGGAAGGCATCAAGATAAAACACACGCAATATATCAGAAATATCAGAGCGATGTCGCAGGCCGGTGGAGGTGCACTTGGTAATGGAAGTGGCGCAGGGAGTAGCAGCGGGTCGATGGAACGTGGAAGAACCACAAAACGACATTTGCAATCTACAAATGTGCTCCACGGGATAAGTGGCACTCTAGAGGACAAAAATAATGACTTCCTGTGTCCAATCTGCTTCGAAGTAATAGACGAAGCACACATAACAAGATGTGGTCATACATTCTGCTACCGCTGCATCGCCAAGTCGCTCGAAGCAAATGGCCGCTGTCCAAAATGTAGCTTTACCTTGGGCCAGCAGGACATCTTTCCAAATTTTCTGCTCAATGAGATTGTTTCGAAGTACAAAATGCGAGACAAGGGTGTTGCCGAGTTGGGATCATCGCGAAGCGGCGATAGAAGTCGAGGTGTCGTGGGCTCTGAGCTGTCAATACCACCTTGCGACGGCCTGAGAGATTTCGTCGCGGCAGAAAGTGCCAACCTGACTCTACCCGACGTGAACGTAATGTTGGAAGTCCTCACGCAAAGGAAGCATCTCTTGGAGGCAGAATCCTGTGCGGCACAAAATAAGCTCCTCCACGAGTTTCTCAAGCATCTCTTGCAGCAGAAGGAAGAGCAGAAGAATCAGCTGCAAAAGGAAGTAGCCTTGATCAAGAAGGACATGGAAGAGGTCGAAAGCATCCTCAGGGACGTTCAGAGTAAATGTCCAAGAGTGGAGGATTTAAAAGCATCTAGCGAAAACGACACAGCTCAAGTGTCGGCTATAAGGAAAGAGATGATCGACCTGATAGATATTATTGACTCAAATATGGTGAAACCTAATGAGACAGCAGCAGCGAGCGGAAACGATGCCTTTTCGAATTTAGCTGCTAGTGATAAAGTGAACGACCACGTGACCACTTCTACCTTAGCTGTACGCAGAAAACGTATGCACGCTCATTTTGAAGATTTCGTGCAGTGTTACTTTGATTCACGAGCAAAAGAATTATTATTCGGTCAGACTAAGACGTCGGCACAAAGTGAGACGAGTCACGGCAAAAATTCTGGCCTCGACGTCTTCCGCGAGAATCTCGTTAAATTCTCCAGGTACAATTCCTTGAGACCGCTGGCCACGCTCAATTACTCTTCGGATATCTTCAATAACTCGACTATCGTGTCTAGCATAGAGTTCGATAAGGATAACGAATTCTTTGCTATAGCCGGTGTCACAAAACGCATCAAGGTTTTCGATTATGGCGCCGTCATAAGGGATACCGTGGATATTCATTACCCATGCGTCGAAATGGTCTCGAGTTCAAAGATATCGTGCGTGTCCTGGAACTCTTATCACAAGGGTATGCTAGCTTCCTCGGATTACGAAGGAACCGTAACAGTATGGGACGCAGCGACTGGTCAAAGGACCAAAGCGTTTCAGGAGCACGAGAAAAGATGCTGGTCCGTTGACTTTAACGACGTAGACACAAGACTCATAGCCTCAGGTTCCGACGATGCAAGAGTCAAGCTCTGGTCTCTCAATATTGATCATTCCGTAGCATCGTTGGAGGCCAAAGCCAACGTCTGTTGCGTGAAGTTCAATCCACGCAGCTCGTGCCACTTGGCCTTTGGGTCTGCAGATCATTGCGTGCATTATTATGATCTTCGTAACATGAAGGAAGCTCTGTGCATATTCAAAGGCCACCGTAAGGCCGTCTCGTACGTGAAGTTTATTAACAAGGAGGAGATAGTCTCGGCCAGTACGGATTCCCAGCTCAAAATGTGGAACATCAATAATCCACACTGTCTACGCTCCTTCGTCGGCCACGTGAATGAGAAGAATTTCGTGGGTCTTGCTACAGATGGCGATTACGTTGCTTGCGGATCGGAGAACAATGCCCTCTACGTATATTACAAGGGCCTCACCAAGCAACTGTTCTCCTACAAGTTCGACGCCGTCAGGAGCGTCCTCGAGCTTCAGGAAAGAAGAGAGGAGGACCTCAATGAATTTGTTTCTGCGGTATGCTGGAGACAGATGTCGAATGTCGTGGTGGCTGCCAATTCACAGGGTATCATCAAGATACTGGAACTCGTTTGAGAGCGGTCGAGAAGACGTCACTGTGAACAAGCACAAAATCCACTATCAGCACGTGGACTTATGTATTATGAGATAACGAGAGCAAGGATGTAGCTTTCGAAGTATCATTGGTCCTAGATCGTATTCATGAAATGATGCGGTATTCATAATGGGAAATTTATTGGGCCTCCATGTACATGTTTCTCGGAGACTGACCTAATACGATTAGTTATCTATCTACCTAATTTAGAGAAGAAATGTGCACAAAAAACTATATAGCTTGACTCTCAATTGATGTGGCGTTACACCACTAGTAAGCACGGGTACGATTCAATTGAATTGTTCGATTTTTATGTCGATTCAAGTACCGACTGAGTCGTAATAGTTGAAGATTCCACTAAGGAAATACTGTAAAGAAAATTCTCGTGTTCAAGTTACTTTTTGTCAGTTATACCGATGCGACTCTGTTATTGTCATCCCGAGTTCAATAAGACTCGATAGATGTTCTTGAGATTTAAAAAGTTGTCTCTCCTTTAAAGTTTTTCGTGTATGGAGATGCATCTGTAAATACATGTATATTGCAAGAGTTGTTTCAAGTAAAAAACTTATAGAATTTTAACGAGGGTGAGAAAAGGACGAGGAACAGGATTCAGGCGTAAAGCGTCATAAAAAATGTAGAAAAAAACGTGAGCCTGATCATTCCCACTTAATGCAATTAGTATATAAGTATATTTCGAGTCAAAGTAGCCTAACGCTTTAAACTAGATAATAAATATGTAAGAATAAGAAATTGCTATACTTACAAGCAATAACGGTATATACTAGCAATTTTGTTTGTGCCAATGTAGATAAACGAGTAGGAGCAGATAGCTTCAGCAGTGAAGAGTACATATTTCAGACAAAAATTTATTTCATATTATGATTTTCATAAAAACTCTCTTGTTAAGCCTCTCGTATTAACGAGTAGGTGCTCTCTGTAGAGTCGCTCTAAGTTCCTATGGTTATCGTGACAGTCAGCCAGTCTCTACGTGTCAGTCTAAAAATCGAAGTTACATATGTCAAATAATAAAGGCAATAGTACGTATCAATGAAAACAATATCACGTGAGCGAAACCTCCTGAAATGCATAAAGAAAAGATATTGTGTTTCGTGAACGATTTTCTTCCTGATGATACAATGAAAAACTCCATAAGAACGTATAAAAAGATACTATAGATGGAGTCACTGATTCCTTAGTGGCTATACATAGATAGATGTATTGTAACGTTCCAACCCGTGAAACTGTATTTAGCTCTTGAAAAAAATTAGTCACGACTCCTGCGGCTCAAATTTCATTAGGTAAACTTTAATAGAAGAAGAACGAGTTTCGCTCTTTAACTTCGATGTATCCAAGCCAAGACGAATCGTTACCCCACGGTGTAAATTAGAAGGAATTAGTTTGTAAATTACTATGTAGTTTTTAATTAGTCAAAGAAGTTCATGTAGATTCATAGAAAGTTATACAGATGAACGGATAAGAAAGGTGGTTGCTAAAGTGAGTTGTAAAGAATAGTATATTTTTAGATCATATTTTAAAAACAAAAATGATGTATTGCGTTTGATCGGTGTCCAAAATGGCTACAGTTTATTATAATTAATAAATTGACTAATTGGTGTCTGATTATATTGACGTTATGCTATTATGTTCATATTAAGTCCTCCAAGCATTATTCCTATTTTATGCTTGAATTTCCTTACTGTGTTCATCTTGTATAAATTGAAGGTATTAATAAGTATCTCTGCCACTTTAGAGCTGGGCCAAAAATAAAAAAGGCGGAAACCAGGGTCTTTTGGGGCTTGGACGAATCGGAGTTCGCGGGTATCGCCGTGGTTGGTCTCGGAAAACCGAACTTGGGTATCAACCAGTTGGAGGAACTTCATGAGGGAAAGGAAAATATTCGCATAGCAGCAGCAGGTACTCAACTTTGCGGCCAATGATTATGAACGGCAATCTTCCAGTATTTTTTAAAAACCTCCATAAGATAATCAATGTTCAATTTAATTATGCAGCTGGTTGCCGAGCTTTGGACTCTGTTGAAATCAAAGACATTACCTTGGAGTCTTTGGGAGATGCTGAGGCAGCAGCAGAGGGCGCTGGTCTCACTTCTTGGTTTTACCAAGAATTTAAGAACAAGGAAAAGCAAAAGACATTGCCAAAGATTTCATTATACAATCAAGAAGATGAGTAAGTCTTTTTTCTATTGAATATAACGGGCATTCACACTATTAATATTCATCACGCCATCTATGTTGTTTAAATGAAAACAGGGAAGCATGGAGAGTTGGTACTATCAAGGCACTTGCACAAAACTGGGCAAGGAAACTCGCCGATACACCAGCCAATTTCATGACGCCTACAATATTCTCAGAGGAGGTGTCTAAAACCTTGACTGATCTGGGTGTTCAAGTTACGGTCCATGACAAAGCATGGGCTGAACAGAAGGGCATGGGTTCCTTCTTGAGCGTATCTAGAGGTAGCGTCGAGCCTCCCAAGTTTCTCGAGATTAATTACAAGGGTAAAGAGGATACAAGCGTGCCACCAATTGTTTTCGTCGGCAAGGGTGTAACTTTTGATTCCGGTGGAATCAGCATCAAGGTACTTTTTTCACACTGACATGACCTCGTATGATAAAAGTAAATGATTAAATAAGGATATACAATTAGCTCTCAGCTCAAATGGATGAAATGCGCGCTGATATGGGAGGCGCAGCTTGCGTAGTTGCATCGATAAAAGCAGCTGCTGAGCTAAAATTGAATGTAAATATCGTCGGACTAATTCCTCTCACGGAGAATCTGCCATCCGGAACCGCCACCAAGCCCGGGGACGTGGTCGTCGCGATGAATGGAAAAACCATCATCGTGGATAACACTGACGCAGAAGGCAGACTCATTTTGGCTGACGCACTTTGCTATGCTCAGGAATTTCATCCAAAGTACTTGCACCCATTTCCCGATATCCTATTAATCGTTAACTGCTAATTATAATAAAAAAACTTTCTTACTTGTCGCACAGATTCATCTTAGACATTGCTACTTTGACTGGTGCTATAAGAATCGCTCTAGGAGGTGCTGCCACTGGTGTATTTTCCAACTGCTGCGAGCTTTACGAGAAGTTGAGAGACGCCGGGACAATTACTGGCGATCGCGTTTGGAGATTTCCCCTGTGGCAACATTACAACGATAAAATGACAAGTAGCATCATTTTACTTTTTCTTTGTCAGTTCGTTTATGCATATCAAATGACGATATAAAATATCCTTTACGAATTCGTAGAATCTGTGAAAGCCGCAGACGTGAATAATGTCGGCAAAGGCAAGGGCGGCGGTTCCTGTAACGCAGCAGGCTTCCTCCGTGAATTTGCCGGCACTGACACGCCCTGGATGCACTTGGACATCGCTGGAGTAATGGGGCCAGGAAACGAGGAGTTGCCATATTTACCGCCAGGAATGACAGGCCGCCCAACCCGTACCCTCATACAGTTTCTGCAGCAGATAGCTTGAGGTTGCAGCTATCCCGATAAGTAAGGACCTACTGCGTGTGCCTCATTATTTTTATATTATATAATGATACACCCACGCACATACACGTATGCACACGTAGATTAAGAAACCGCCATTAGCCAGATGTTAATCAGTTTATTTTTCTCGATTTTCTTTTTCAACGAAATCGTTTGCTTTTTATTACGAGGCATTTACTACGTATTCCGATGCTCTTCCTTCTTGTACAGCAAAACAGACCCTCTGAATATTATTAAGAAATTTCTTTATCTTTCTCTCACGTTAAAATCAAAGGTATCGACGTAATGCCGTACTCCTCGCCACATTTATGTATCTTGTAACAATAGTGCCTGGGAGCTTTCACTGCACCTATTTCCAATTGTATAATAGTATAGCGTTGTACAGGTGGATAGAGGAAGGAGCCATGTTTATAACAATATGTCAAAGCTATCAGTGTAATAAACGTGTTAAAGCCGAACGAACTAAGTAGCCATCCTCTCGATACTTATATCCTTTTTTATTGACAATACGGATCCTTCGTATGAAACGTGTCGTGTGACGATTACGCATGACAATAGGAATTGCGTCGGTTACGTAAAAATAAGATAAAGTACAATAATCGCTTAAGAATAGAAATATATACCTATATTTATATATGTAATGCATACGACTGCCCATTACTAATTCTATATACATATCAAATTTTCGACATTTCATTAAATGCATTATCTATGTACATATCCACTGCTTCGATATCTTTACAAGTTATCTAGCAGCCATCGTTTATTAATTCTCTGCTGTCATTGTCAGTGCATCCCAAGTGAACTTTTTTTAAATAATCAAAGCGCTTGAGAGCAGCAGCGAAACAATGAGAGAAAGAAAGGATAAATTGATACTGCACTCGCGTTTGTTCAATGATTCGCGCATCTTCATTAATGTTTCTACAAATGCGTTAATCGTATTTAGCTAAGTAATTCGGAAATTCCAATAAGGAACAATTGGCCAAGTTGATGTCCCAATAAACCATCCGATTTACTCGGTACGGTGTATCTGAACTTTGAATGCCACTTATATTCGAATAATTCGTACGACCGTAAGGTTATCACTTGAGTCTCACCAGGAATTTGGTATGACGTCACTCGCGGTCGCATTTAGATTTATTTACTTAAGTGCAGGACGGCGGCGGTTGTTGCTGCTGCGGGGGAAGGGGCGCCGTTGCGGCAGCTGCGGCGGCAGCTGCAGCAGCGGCGGCGGCTGCATAAGACGAGGGATCCGAGGGATCAAGTAGAGGCGGTGGAGGTGGTAAAGCACCGCCTCCTCCTCGACCACGTCCTCGGCCTCTTCCTCGACCTCTGCCCCGCCCCCTCCCCCTTCCGCGTCAACTCCTCCTCTCCGGCATCCCTATGTTGCTCGTTGTCTTCTCCAGAAAAGCCAGAGGTCCCTGAAGCGAGCCGCTGCCTACACCTCCTACGGGGAAACCTGCGGCACGATTGCCAGCTACGCCAACACCTCCTTGGGCCATGAACATTCCTTGCTGACCCACTGACACGCCGACTCCTTGTAAACTCGATGGAGGAGGCGCACCTGTTCCCTGTTGCACCTGTAACGTTAAATTCAGTACCAAGATTCAGTCAGTGACTGTGCTTTCCTCGAGGGAGACTTGCGCAACATGCGATTCCTTGCGAAACTCAAAACTGAATTTTATCGAATAAACGTAATATGAAAAAATCATAAAACATTAATTGAGCATTGTAATTACTCGTGGTACCAGATGATCGATTGAAATGAACTACACCGTTAAAGCTGTACCAAAATTTGTGTTCGTGTGATTGGATTGGTCACAAGCTACTTTCTCTGTTGCACCTGGCAAGATCTAGAAGTTCTAATAGAAGGCACTCGACACGCATGCATGTAGATACAAGTAGAAGACGAACGAACAGACAGACAGATTTGGCAGAAAACTATAAAGCCACGGGAAGAAAGGACTGAGGCATTTGGTAAGGCTAGGTGAATGAAAGAAAGCACAATGTTTCACCGTGAACAGAGTTTTATTCTAGAGATATCTACTTGCATGTAATGACAACATAAGTGGGACATGCGTAAACCCATGAACAACTCCTTATCAGGAATAGCCACGAATCCGCGTATCGTTAGGCTTCTACTATCTATAATATTAAAAAGGAGACCTACTTCGTACGTCCGAAAAAAATACACCAAAGTATTTGCACGGCGGAACACGACAGTATTAAACTCCTTAAGAATTTCATATTTTTAAATATTTCGCCAATTGCTTCACCTTCTTCTCCGTCGTGCAAACACAAGAATGCATGCATGCGTATGTACATGCAAAAAGTATATACCGCCTGATCGAACGAAGAAAACGTACGGATACGAAACAAATAGAATTATGTGAATTAAGAAAAAAAAAAGAGTGATCGAAGAGACTTAAAGAATAACTTTGTAAAAGTACAAAAAAAAACGACGGCACAAGAGTACATCGTCGAAGAAGACATAGAGAGATTTAAATAATATAGGAAGAAAATAATAAACGCTATTATCCAACGATAAAACTCACATACTAAAATATGATCGCAAGTCAAAAACATTTCTACTAGAGATCTACGTGTTTCTCTTTGCTCCTGGATAAATCGCGTACACCTAAGTCAGTGCGTGTAACTTCGTGTTTTTATAAGTGATGTGCGTTTCGCGCGTCTGTATAGTCACTCAGTGTACTTTTTAATTTGTGCTTGTTGATATTTATATATGTATATATGCAGGGTTACCATAGGATGCTGTAGTAACGCTAGAAAAAGCTGCCGTAGTTTTTTAATCACTCCCCTATGCTTTGTTTATTATTGTCTTTATCAGATTTATTATATTTTTGGCTAGGCATTTGTACACATTTCCACGTTAATTATTTTGGCACCGTTTCTCCGTACCCCTCTAAGAGGCTAATTATAACGCTCTATCGTATTTAAGATTTTTCTTCGGTACAGAATAATAATAATAATATAGTTTGTGTTTGAAAACCCTCCCATCATCGTTTAAAGGGCTTCGCAAGTCGCAAATCATGCCTGCATCCCTCGCGTCAAAACGATAAGAGCACTTCCAATCTTGCATCTTATTACAGTATACGATTTTACGGTAGGACTTCTCTATAAGGCACTGATTTTACGCAACAGTTTGCATTCGTTGCACTTGTACAATCGGTTCGAGGAAATCTCAGGGTAGCCTCTAGGTAGTCCCAACACTGCATTCGCTATGTCGCTCTCGCTCCTTTTCACTATTTCCTTATTATATCTTTCATTTTTTGTTTTTTTCTCACTCCACTACTCGTTCTGTGTTCCTTCTCTCTCAAAGTACGTGCACTCGCACAATTTCACTAACAGAACGCAAGGACTTACTTAACGGCTACTCTCTATACACTATACACGTATATACACGTATATCAAAGTCTTAATGGTTATTACAAGAACGTAGCGTAAATGACGAACGATGCTGGCTCGTAACAACTCAGAATAATAATAAGATACATGATTTTTCTCATCGGAGATGCGATCCACTGCGCGGTACAATGATACGAATGACAGACAGGCATTAGAATTTCATCAAATTAACATCTATTTACAGGAAGGCCGAAGTAATTCAATGCTCTATCGGAAGATAATGCTTACAGTTATCTCCCGATTGGATATATCTATTATGTACCGCAGCGCGGTTCTTTCATGTAATTTCTGCTTATTCCCATTTTATGTCTTGTATGTTACTTCCTTTCATTTTGGCACCTTGCAAGGAACGTATATATCTCTGATACCGCGTCTACCTCTAAGTTGAAACTTGATGGGTGGTTCTAACGGTATTACTTAAATACCTGTTGTTGGTGGAGTTGTTGCTGTTGCTGTTGCATTTGATGCTGCTGGAGTTGCTGCAATTGCTGTTGTTGAAGTTGTTGTTGATGCTGGAGAATTTGTTGTTGTTGTTGCTGTTGCTGCTGCATCGTAGATCCACCACCACCATTACCACTTTGTTGGCCTTGGCCTCCTTGACTACCGTTTGCCAGACCTATACATGTAACGACATCCATAAAGAAATGTCCTTTGCCAAAAAGGGATTTTTTCTCCTTCTTACCGTTGGGTGCTGGTCCTTGTGCAGGAGATTTTGCCCATCCTTGTAAATCAGCAAGGAGATTTTGCCACACAGCTATTTTGTCGTAATGCCTCTTAATGAGTTCTTCCTTCCTGGCTAATTCAAGCTTCAGGTCACTAATATCTTCTTTTACAACTAGTTCTGGTTTGAGAGCCGAAAGAAGAAATCTCTTTTGTAGAAAAAATGCTTCTACTTGTCGAGCAAGGTCTATAAACCTTAATGTAACTTGCTCGACTTCTCCACGAGCTTCATCTTTGTCAACAGCCAAACCACCACAGGTTCCAATACCGTTACTTCCTAGACTCTCATCCTTCGTTAGGATGTTAAGGCATTGCTGTTAATTACAGAATATATAATTCATAGAAATTCATCAAAATCAAAGGCACAGGCTTACATTTCCGGAAATGTATAATATGCAAGTTGAAATTAAGTTTTAATAAATTGAAATTATGCTCTAGAATCTCATCTTGCTAACGTCAAATGAAATGAGTAATTAAATTCCGGTTTCTTAATATTGAGAGGTGTTTACATGTAGCAAGATGCTCTAGAGCCGTATAAAAATATCTTAGAAATAACTATGCAGGTTATCATCAATTACCTGGAAAGCTTCCTCAAACTCGTCAACGAGATTTCCATTGCCGTTGGTCGGTGTTGCCATTGCACGCTTCCTCTGCGCAGAAGATTTGGCTGTCGTAACCTTTTAGTTACAAGCACTGAACTATACCAATTGATACCAATCCGAATGTACACTGTAAGGTGGGGGATCAAGCATGCGAGAGAAAGACAGAGAAAATAGGGACGAAACAGAAGCTCCCTGTCTCTTTCCGCGTACAGTCCGATCAAAGAATAGAAGCACCAATTACATATGTAACAATAGATATGTTTTAGTTACACAATTTTTTCACTTAGACTGTATTTGCGTTTGCGCAACAACTGACAGCTTCTCTCTGAGCGCGCATGTTTCCTACCATATTGAAATGGCAGTCGTGTCCAGTATTTGCTATATGCGTACGCACACGGATCCTATACCTAAGCATGTATTTCATATCATTAGGTTTGCTCGTTACCTAACCTTCTGCACTTTTCAAAAGGCGCAAGTTCTCATTAGTTATTTAAAAATATCATCCAATGAGAATTTGCACTACATGATGTATATGTGTACATACATCCAACATATGTATATGAAAGGAAAAGTCCAGTGGAAAATCAGAGATCAGTAGGGAGATGCACAACGCTACGGTTTTGGGCGATACCAAAAACATGGCACTAAATCGTAGCGGCGAGTCCGGGAATAGAATTTTGTGATCATCGCCTCTGTCGATAATGCATATCCCGTCGTAGCCGAGCCGAACGTCATCACGAACGGATAGCCAGGCGGGCAGACTCCTCCGTTACTTATCGCTGGTTCCCAAAGCAACACTTAGAACAAGACAACTCATCGGATATAGCCTAAATACTTTTTCTCTTTGCAATCCTAAATTCGATCGCACAGTGTAAGCTCGGTAAGTTTAATATGACAAAAGCAAGCAACTCGTGTCTGCCTGCACTGAAGCGTATGATGCCACAAGCATATTTAATACATATTTTACCGATGTTGCGTAGCAGAACGATTGTTAAAACCTATTAGGAACTGATATTTTGAATAAATTTTGAAAGTAAATCAAGATCCAATAATTTTTAGTAGTATTTGGAAAGCTTTATTCAATTTTTCAAATTTTGAATTTGAATTTCGTATTTTAACGATGTTACGTACCAGAACTATTGTTAAAACCTATTAGGAACTGTAGAACTCCTCGAGAACTATTGAAAAAGCCTATTGTTGAATCATTTTCAAGAGATTTTAAAAAAGTGCGGTGCTGGAGCTGACATCCGTGTAGCACCTCCATTTTTGTAATGTTAATATAATATGTATTATATGTATTATTATAATATGTATAAATATGTATTTTAATAGAGAGTCCACAGTGTTCTTCTCTCGTCGTGCGGAATTGGCAAAATCCAGAAGACTCGCGTGGACGAGTGCAAATTATTTAGTACGCAGCAGAATCTGCGGTTGATCACTCGGAAACAAGTATAGCTGGAAATATAGTCAGACACTACCGCGCAACATGGGAACACTTTCCGAATGCATCACCAAAATCTCACACAA